AGGTGCCCCGCGGCCCCCCAGCTTCCCAAGGGGGCCCCTGGCCGCCGGCGCGGGGGAGGAGCTCGACTTGGGCGAAGGATGGCTCGAATGCCGCCCGCGCCGCCACCGCGAGACAAGTCGCAGCGGCCTCTGCGGTAGCCACTGGGCCGAATGGTCAGGGTGGTCCTGCTGGGGGTCGGACGGCCGCTGGGGCTGGCCCGCGCGGACGCGCGCAACCGCGCGCGACGACCTCCCCACTCCCCGGTCTGGCCCTTGACCCTCGTTGCAGGAGTGCCCGAGCCGACTGCGCACCAGACCAGCGAGACCACGGGGGCGCTGGGGCCGAGTACTCACAAGATCTGCAGGACCCAGAGACAGGGCAATCTATCAACAACGCCCCTCTGGAGCGAGTCGTCGTCCTGAACCCCAGTGGCGAGGCTCCTGCCGAGACCGTGAAAAGACACCAGAGGGAATTGGGCGATTATCCCACTGGCGCATGGCATCAATGGACAGCCACGCATCCCTCGCCTACGGGCCGCCCCTGCGCCGACCCTTCGCGCCGGCAGCCCGAGTCCTGCGCGCGCTTCCTCAACGAATGGCTCAGTCACAAGTGCAGCGTCTTCAAAATGGACACTGCGCTCCACCTCGGTGTCAACTGGGGGGCTGTCCGCGCTCGGATTTACGACGGGGGTAGAAGCGCGGGTTCCCCGGTGAAGCCAAAGGCAAAGGGCCGCGCGAAGACGGCGACGCCCGGTGGACAAGAATTGCGGACCCTAGGAGGGCAGCGGGCTTGCGCCAGCCCTGCTGGCACTCTTAGGTCTTGCCCAGATCGCTCAGGAGGTCGCGCACGTCGGCACTCGTGGATGCCGCGCGCTATACCTCAGGGCGCCCCTCGGGGCCCCACCCCTCCTGGCCGCGGGGCTGGCAAGCTTCTCTGCGCGCCTCCGTGTGCGCGCCAATGCCACCTCGGGCGCGCCCAGCTGGGGATGTTGGCCCGTCCCAGGCCCGAGAGCCCCCCCCAGGGCGCCGCTGCGCGGCCTCTCTCCCCCTGGATGATTGCCGCCCCCCGGCGGGCTGTAGGTGGCCAAGGGGCCGGTCCCTTGCCGGTGGGCCCCAGTTACTGCTAGAGCCCCTGCGACGACCCCTTTGCAGCCCCGCGCTGCCCCGCGCGCCGGCAGCGCCCTGGGGCCCCCCTCCCGGAGGGGCCCGGGCCTGCGCGCAGCGGCCTCATCGGACTACTACCTTGCGGCTGTTAGCTGACTTTACCGAGTCCGCCTGGGACGCTATAGCCCACGCCTGATCATTTACTTGCGGCTGTCGGCCGCCCCCCTCCCAGCTCAGCGCGCAAGACTGTCTCGACGACGCGATGTCGCCCCGCCGGGGCGTCGAGGCGAGATTGCTGACTCGCGGCTGTTAGCCGCCCCCTCGCAGCGTGAGAGACCGCCCCGACGACGTGCCGAGGCGCCCCCCGGGGCGCCGAGGCGAGCTGTCTCTGGGCATCCAGTTCGACGATGCTGGCCCCAGCTGTTCGCTGAGGCCCCATCTACTAGTGCGCCCCCTCCCTGCGGCTGTTAGCTGCGACCCGCTCGCTCATCGCAAGTATCCGCGGCTGGTAGCCGCCCTCCCTCTACAGAACGCCTCTGGCCCTCCGTGCTTCCCCCAGGGCGCGCGGGCCTGCGGGCCCCGCGAGAAATTGCAAGTTTCCGCGGCTGTCAGCCGCCCCCCTGCTACAGGGCGCCTCTGGCCCTCCGTGCCCCCCCTGGGGCGCGCGGGCGTGCGGGCCCCGGTCGACGTCGGCTGTCCTGCGTCGGCCTCGGTGGGCGGGCTGGGTCGGCAGTTTCCGATGCTTCGGTTCGGCCCGCGGCTGGCGCTTTCGTGTTCCTCCTGATCATGTTCGTCGTTGGCGCGGGCCGGCGTTTGGTTCTCCTGGCCGTTGGTTCACGGACGCGGTGTTCCAGGCTCGTTCGTGGCGGCGTCACGATTTTCGACGCTTGGCATCAAGTGTGCGCGGGTTTCAGGCCACGCGCTGGCTCCTGTCGCTGTGCAAGTACTTCGAGGACCACGGGCTTCCGGTGCTCCCAGGCTCGGTAGCTCGCCTTTGAGCGGCGCTGCTCTAGCCCCCTGCTTCTCCTCCCCGCTGTCGCCCTCGCCTCTTCGGTTTCGGCCTCGCCTCCTTTCCGCGCTTGCCAGCTGTAGTTTAGGCTTTTGCCCAATGCTGCGTAGGCCTGGCTGTCGCTTTACTTGCGGGCGCCGCGCGGCTGCCCGCTAGCGGCTGGCAAACAAAAAGTACCCCCACCAGCGTTGGACCGAGTGCAAAGCAACTCGTCCCGGTCTCGCCCCAAAGGACCCACGCATGCGACCCCAGGCCGCCTGCGACGAATTCCTGGCCCCCTGGTTGCAGAACGGCTACGATGCCCACTCTCTCAGCCGCCAGCGCAGACTTCACGCCGAGTCCGACCGCGAGGACTGGGGCAACGCCGGGCGCCCAGGCAAAGGGCTAGACCGCGACGCCTCCGCGGTGCGAAGTGGCAGACAGGGCAAGCGCAGCCGCGGCTGGGACGAACCTGCTGCGGACAGGAGACAAGAGACACAATTGGTAGCCACCGTCCACCTTTCCCACCGCGCCTCCCTCTTCGCCTCCCGCCCTGGGTGGGCTGCGACTCTTGTGCTTGCAGCGATCAGCTGCCTTCCCCTCCTCCCTTCTCCTCCTCCCTGGGCCTCACCTTGGGCATGCCCCTGCCGAGGCCCACTTTGCCTCTTCGGCCACAGATGCCAGCTGTACCTTGGGTGTCCCTCTGCCGAGGTCAGCCATTCCGTCGAAGTGATTTGCTTCCTACGTACGATCAGCTGCCTCATATGACCTCTTAGGGGTCTGGTCAGGCGAGTGCGGGCGTGCCCCCCTGGGGTGTCCGCCCCGCCGCGCGATTGCCGCAGGGGTTCATGTCGGTGGGCTGGACGACTGGGCCCCGCCCCTGGCATTGGCCCCACTTCGCCCAAGGCGTCGTGGCCGGCGCTGGCCTCCGCTTGGTCTCCCGCCGTTCCACCGTGGGCTACCTGCTGGGCTGCGGCCCCTTGCGCGGTCAGCTGTTAGCTTTACCTTGGGTATCCATCTGCCGAGGTCATCCATTCCGTCAGGTGTTTCGCTTCCTGCTTGCTCTTGATCCGCCGAGGCTCTCCGAGTGTTGCAGCGATCAGCTTCGTACCTAGGGTATTCCTCTGCCGAGGCTTTCCGATTCCTGCCAGTGGCCCCCCTTCGCCCAAGGCGCCACGGCCCCCCTGTCAGGCACTTGTGGGCGCCAGCCTCCGCGCGGCCGCCCGCCGCTCCACCCTCGGGCGCTCCCTTGCACGAGCTCGTCGTGCCGGTCATTCCACTGCCTCCAGGTTCGTGCGCGCGGGGCGCTTGGGCGGCTGGTCGCATCGCTTGGTCTGATGTCCTACCTGTGCGGCAAGTTTGGGTTCGCTGCCTCCATCCCGGGTAAGCGCTGCGTCCGCCTCTCGCCTGCACGGTCTGCGTGTTCGACAAGGTCGCTTGGGGTATCGCGGGCCTCTCGTCGCGGCCTGGCGCTGCTGGCCCACCCACTGCACGGTTCTCTCATGCCAGCCATCCTCAATTCTCAGTCGCGTGCACGCGGGGCGCATGGCGCTCTTCGTGACGTTTGACCTGTTGTCCTACCTGCGCAGCAACCCTCGCCCTTGTCTCTCGACCTCGGCTACGCGCCGCTCGCGTTCCCCGGGTGACTTGCCGACGCCGACCAGAGGTGGCCCGCGGTCCCACGTGTGCGACCATCTCGCTCCTGCGAACCCTGGGGTTGGGCCCGCGTCTTTTTTGACCTTCACAGGCTCGGGGCGCCCATGGTTGAGTGGCCCGCTACCCGCGCGCGCTGGCCGCCGAGGGGCTTTAACCCGCGCCATTTTGGCTGCGCCCTCCATCTTGTGCTCGCGTTTCTGCTGTTCTACCCGTGCGGCGTGGTGCTCGCCTCGTCTTCCGTTGCGGCTCTGTCTCGCGATTTTGGCTGCGTCCACCAGACTGGTGCTCGGGTTCGTGTTTTTCCCGGTCGGCAAGGATGGAGCCGCCCTGGCCGTCGCGCTCTTCTTTCTCGGCACGCTCTTCTGGCGGCTGCTTGCTGGCCGGGCGGCGCTGGCGCACTCTCTTCCGCGCGCTGGCTGCCACTCACCTCGCTGTCTTCCCCTAGCTAGGAACGCGACCCGCCCTGGCGCGCTCGGCGTGCGACTTGTCTTCGCGCGCCCGCGGGCCAAAAGTATCCCCACCAGCTTTCAGAAAAGCTGCCGATGAGAGCTGATCTTCTCGAGGCCCTCTTGAGGTCCTCTTCGTGCTCTTTCGATGCTCTCTTGGGGCTCCCTTGGGGCTCGTTAGGGGTGTTTTGGGGCCATCTTGGGCACCTCTGGGGGCCGTGGAGGGCCTCTTGGGGCCATCTTGGACGCCGGGGGGGGGGGTGGTCCTTCATCTAGCCGCCCCCTCAAGAGGCTTCAGAACTGTCTCTTGTGGCCCTCTTGGGGTGTTATTGATGCACTCATGGGCGTTCTTGGTGCCGTTTTGCGGGCCTCGTGAGCCCCTCTTGGGGTTTTTTGGGGCCATCTTGGAACATCTTGGACGCGAACCGGCGAGGAGGCAAGTTTATTGACCCCCCCGAAGTTTTTGAACGAATTTGGGCTCTTGGGGAGGTCCTTGGGTTGTTCCGAGAGCACTTGGGGCCCTATATATATATATATATATATAATATATATACTATTAATATTATTATTGTTACATTTTTTGTAAAAAAAAAGATTTGTGTCGGATGCTATTTGGAACCATCTTCGGCTATCCTGAACCATCTTGGAAACCATCTTGTAGCATCGGAGGCCCTCTTGGAGCCATCTTGGGCGAAACAAGCGCGGGGCGTGGTATGGAGGGAGGGGTAAGCCCTTCCCCGAACCCGAAACGGAAGAAGGGTGGTGTGGAAGAGGAAGGAAACAACTCGTCAGGCCACCTACGCCCAGAGTGCTGGTGTAATTATGACGTCGGGGTTCAGGGGATGCCTGCGGCCACCGACGGCCGCCCAGTTTTGATCGTTGAGGAGGATTGCTAGTAGAGCCATCACGTGTCACATGGACCTCTTGGAATGGTGCAGCTGCTGGTCCGTTCTTGTCAGGTAGTTCGTGATTACATGGAGCTCGTGTCACGGGGACGAACAAGTTGCTAGGGCTACTCTGTGAGCAGTGCTTGGGGGTAATGAGATGGTGTCCATCATCGTTCTTGGCATCCCCAGCTACTTTGGATCAGGTCTGCCTCGCCTTTGCCCATCGTTCGCCCTGCGAGCGCAGGTATATATCAGAGGCTGCGGGGATGGCCGCCAGCGCCTTGACTGAGGCAGTGTCTTTTGAAAAGCGCAGTGCGGAGGCCAGAAAAATCTTAACCAAATATCCGGACCGCATCCCCGTGATTTGTGAGAAGGATGCGCGCTCCAACATACCCGACATTGATAAGAAGAAGTTCCTGGTGCCTGGGACCATGCTGTGTGCCGAATTCAAGTACATAGTTTACAAGCACATCGACCAGGCAAAGGACGCGTCCTTCACTTCCGACCAGACCATCTACCTCTTCGTGAAAGGAACCTCCCCGAAGACTGGTGCCGTGATGGCAGAGATTTACGACCAGTACAAAGCCGACGACGGTTTTTTGTACATGAGCTATAGCGCGGAAAACACGTTGGGTTGATCTGGATCGCCCCGCGGTGAGCCGACCTGCCTGTGGGTTTGGAGGCTGCCAGAAGTGACCCTGGCCCAGGGTGTCTCCAGCTCTCCCCGCCGTCCCGGGTTCCCTGGGGCCCCTGGGGCCTCGCCAGTGGTTTTCTGGAGGCCACCCTGGCACTGAGATCCGACGTCCCAAACATATTGCATTATCGTAGAAAAACTCGACCGGAACCCTGGACCCATTCTTGTTGTTGTTGTTGTTGCTGTTGTTGTTGTTGTTGTTGTTGTTGTTGTTGTTGTTGTTGTTGTTGTTGTTGTTGTTTCTGTCGTTGTTGCTGTTGTTGTTGCACTCCTTTTATAATCGTTTTTTTTTGTTTCTCTCTCTCTCTCTCTCCCTCTCTCTTTCCGTCGCTCTCTCTCTCTCTCTCCCTCTCCTGTCTCATTCCTCTTGCTCTTTTAGTGACTGCGCCTAATACACGTGGCAGGTCAGGAAGATGTCACCCCCAGAGGGGATACGATCGAAGACGAACAGGGCGGGTATCGGGGGTTTGGGATATACGTGGAGAGGTACGCGCAAGCAGATACGAGCGACAATTCTTAAAATGTTTGTTGTTGTTGTTGTTGCGAGACAGATTTGTGAGGGTCCCAGAACCCGAAACAAAAGAATGTTGCCCATTGTGAAGCAATTGCGACGCCTGGATCTCAGGGGCCTCCCTGGAAAAGCTGGGGTCGCCTTGGGCCAGGGTCGCCTCAAAGCATCCCCCGACGGGCCCCGGGCGTCACAGGGCCCGGGTCGTGGTGGACGGCGCGGCCCGTGGCGGGTTTTTGCATGGCGCCCGCCGACAAATGTCGCACCAGACGTCGACAGAGTGCTGTACAGTAACCAGCCCTGCGGTGCGCCACGTGGGGCAAATTCCCTCGTTATCACCAGGGCCATACTCGCGGCGCCCACGAAGGGGCCAGGGCGAGGGGAGCGGACGCCTTCAGGAAAGCGCCCCGCCATTCACCTGAGCCCTCCCCTGAGAAGCCGCCGAGGAGGGGCCGATCCATTCCAAGAGGCCCCTCCCTGCCTTCTCGAAAGGTTGCCGCCCCCTTCGCCCCGCGCTCTTCTGCTCGGTGCCGACCACGGCCATCGCCGATTGTGTTCTCTTCCGCGTCGGTCCCCCGAGAGGGGCCCCACACAATTCGGGGACCCCCCTGGACTTGACTCGGCCAGACCGCTCTCACACTGGAGACCTCATCGTCGATCCGCATCTCAGCCCGTCGCTCGCATCAGCGCCGTCGTTCTCTCTGTATGTCTCTGCTGACGTCCATCGAACAAGGAAGAACTGCGACTAAGCGCGGGCGAAGTGTTCACCCCCGCTGGGGAACCCCTGCCTGGGTCCAAATCGACGGGCGGTTACCAATCGGTCGTTTTTATTTTGATTCCCAGATTGAAGCCTTCTTTAGGTGCCTTCCTATTTCAAGTGTTGAACGGTCTTTCCTTCTCCTTCCTTCTCAGTGTGGAGGCGGAAGCCCACGCTACTTGCACTTCTTCCGAACGGTGGGTAGGGGTAGGGTTCACATATGGCTGCCTATTCGCAACTGGGCCTGCGTCCTGCAGCATGGGGGAGACTTATCGCGCGAGACGTTTCGAGTCAGGTTGAAACAAATAGTACAACAACAGGAGTAGCGAGCTCGCGCCTGCAGTAGACGTCTGCCCAACAGTGCAGCGAGGCGTCAGCCCTCGCATCCAACGACGGACATACGCTCAAATCCGTTCTCCATCAGCTGGCTCCCAAGAGTCCGCTGGGGAGGGACAAAGACAGACGACAGGATTCAGTTCCAGGGGGAAATGGGGATGATGTGGTAGAGTGAGTGCTAGGAGGAGGATGAGGAGGGGGATTGGTGAGAGAGAGGAAGAGGAGGAGTGGGAGGGGGAGCGGGAGCAGGAGGAGGAGGAATATCATGTCTTGGGTTTAGGATGAGGATAGGGGTGGATGATGATGACGACGATGATGATGATGATGATGATGATGATGATGATGATGATGATGATGATGTTGAGGACGATGATGTGGATGAAAGCGATGTTGACCATGATGATAATAATGGTGGGTATCATGAGGATGATGCTGATTATGATGATGCCGATACTGCTGATGATGCTGATGACGGCGATGATGATGCTGCTGATGATGATGACGGTGGTGGGGATCATGATGACGATGATGCTGATGATGATGATTATGATGATGCCGATGCTGATGATCATGATGCTGCTGATGATGATGCTGTTGCTGCTGATAATGATGACACTGATGCTGATCATGATGATGCTGATGCTGATGATACTGATGGTGGGGATGATGATGGTGATGATGATGGCTATGACGACGCTGATGCTGGTGATGCTGATGCTGACCATGATGCTGCTGATGATGATTATGCTGATGATGCTGCCGATGATGATGATGATGATGATGATGATGATGATGATGATGATGATGATGATGGTGATGTTGATGATGATGATGATGATGATGATGATGATGATGATGATGATGATGATGATGATGATGATGATGATGATGATGATGATGATGATGATGATGATGATGATGATGATGATGATGATGATGATGATGATGATGACAGTATTGGTGATGCTGGTGACGATGCTGATGACGATGATGATGATGATGATGATGATGATGATGATGATGATGATGATGATGATGATGCTGCTGATGATGCTGCTGCTGCTGATGATGATGATGATGATGACAATGCGACGATGATGACGACGATGTTTATGCTGACGATGGTTATGACGATACTCTTGATGATGAGGATGATGGTGGGGATCATGAGAATTATGATGATGCTGATGCTGATGATCCTGATGATTCTGATGATGATGCTGTTGCGGCGGATGATGAGGAAGAAGGTATCGATGATGCTGATGATGATGACGACGATGACGATGACGAAGATGATGGTGATGATGATGCTGACGCAGATGCTGATACTGATGACGATGCCGATGTCGATAATGATGATTCTGATTATGCCGATGATGATGCTGATGATACTCATGTTGTTGATGATGATGAGGATGAGGATGATGCTGATGACGATGCTGCTGCGATGCTGATGATGATTGTGATGACGATGCCGCCGACAACCATGACGGCGACGACGACGACTGCGACGACGACGGCGACGTCGACGACGACGACACGACGACGACGACGATGGCGATGACGATGACGATGCTGATGATGAAGAATATGATGCTGCTGATGATGATGCTGATGAAGATGAAAATGATGACGATGATGACGATGATGACGATGATGATGATGATGAATGTTGATTGATGATGATGATGATGATGATCATGATGATGATGATGATGATGATGATGATGATGATGATGATGATGATGCTGATGCTGATGATGATGATGATGATGATGATGATGATGATGTTGATGTTGATGTTGATGTTGTTGATGATGATGATGATGATGCTTATTATTATCGTGAGTATTATTATTAGTATGATGATGCTGGTAATGCTGATGGTGATGATGGAGCCGCTGCTGTTGGTGATGCTGCTGCTGTTGTTGCTGCTGCTGTTGCTGTTGATGTTGATGTTGATGTTGTTGTTGTTGTTGTTGTTGTTGTTATTGTTGTTGTGTTGTTGTTGTTGTTGTTGTTGTTGTTGTTGTTGTTGTTGTTGTTGTTGTTGTTGAATTCTCACTTCTGAAGGATCATTATTGTTGATCCCCGCCCACCGGTGCATACTGTTTTTTCTCAATCAAAGTATGTCTTTCGACGCTCGCACCCTGTCTTTTGACAGGGAAAGTCTTCATGCTCAAACTTAGCCCCTGCCCCCCGGGTTACAACAACAACGGCTCCCGCTTGTGACTTCCTTACAGTTTAGCCAGGACCTCCGATCCCGCCCGAGACTTCCTCGCATTTTATGTAGGAATCGCGCTCTCTCTTGGGGCTTCCTTACAATTTATACAGGAATCGCTCTCCCAGCGCTCTGGAGTCGCGCTCTCGCTGGAGACTTGCTTGCAACTTACTGAAGAATTGCCTGGCGTTGGAATGTCCTGCAATTTGCCCAAGCGCCGCGCTCCCGACACCCAGGCACCCATGAGTCGCGCCCGTTGTGGCCCCATGTGCATGCCCTTCGTGACCCCGCTGTCGCCATTTGTGTCCCCCTCACTGTCCTACGTGGCCCAGTTGCTACCCTCAGTGGCCCCATAGTTGCCTTCTGTGGCCCCGCATTATCTGCACTTCGTGGCCCCCGCTCGTTCGCGCTCTTCGTGGCCCCATACGCATTCCCTTCGTGTCCCCGCTGTCGCCTTTCGTGGCCTACTTCGTGCCCTTCGTGGCCCTGCTGTCGTTCTCTCTCGCTCTCGCTTTCGCTCGTTGTCGCCGTCGTCGTCGTCGTCGCCGTCGTCTTCGACGTCGTCGTCGTCGTCGTCGTCGTCGTCGTCGTCGTGGTCGGTCCCCGGTCCGTCCCTTTTGGGGTCGGGTCGACGGTCCGCGGCCGCCCCGTCGATCAACGCTGCCGCTGGCCAGGCCGACGGTCCGCGGCCGCCCCGCCGCTTGCCCGGGTCCGGCCTGCAGGGAAGAAAGTATACCTCCCAAGAGGGTTTCGATCGAAGACGAAGAGGGCGGGTATCGAGGGTTTGGGGAATACGCGTCGTTGGACACTCGAGCATAGAAGGGCGAACGGTCTTTAATTATTGTTGTTGTTGTTGTTGTTGTTGTTGTTGAACTTTGTTTATTGAAGAATAATTATTGTAGTCCTCCCCTCTGGTGATCAATGTGTTTTTTCAAATGAAGTGTTCCCCCAGGGCTCGCACCCGGTTTTTATCAGGGAAAGTCACTAGGGTAAATTTGCGTTGTTGGCCCCCGAACTACAACAACAACGTCTCTGGCTTGATATTTCCTCACAAATTATTCCCAAATCGCGCTCTCGCACCTGACTTCCTCACAATTTATGCAGGAATCGCGCTCTCGCGTGGGACTTCCTCGCAATTCTAGACGCTTCGCGTAACCCGGGCAGACAGCGCAGAGGAGGGCTGCCAGGCTTACACCAGCCCAGAGGGGACCGTGCGCAGAGCGGGCCCCCCTTGCCGCACACTACATGACTGGAAAGGAAATCTACAAGAAGACCCACGCCATCCTCGGAGTTCGTGACACCGCAGGCTCTTGGCACGATAGGCCTGAGCAAGTCGACCGCGTCCTGTGGGACAGTCGCAGTAAGATTTGGCACACTGCGCCCCCCCCTCCCAGGCTCCGCCTCGCGCCTCCTCGACCACTACTTCTCCCAGCGCCTCGGCATCGTCGTCCCCGGCAGACCCCGACCCAGGTGGGGCAGGCTCGCCTCCATCGTCCTCACCCCCAGCGGAAGCGCCCCGGGGATTGACGGGGAATCTACGAAGCCTACCACCCTGGAGCCAGGTTCGTCGCCTGTCTCATGGCACAGGCCTGGCACGCCGCGGAACTCAACCCTACCCTCCTGGACGCCGTGCTGGGCCCGTCAGTCGACCTACTTGTGTGGATTGGCAAGAAGGCCGGCGCGGAGAGCTCCAACGACATGAGGCCACTCCAGCTGCCGACATGCCTTCGACGACTTTGCGGGGCAACCCTTGCCGATCTGATGGGCCCAGCAGTGGAACCATTCCTAAGCCCCAACCAGGCTGCCAAAAGAGGAGGGCAATGCGGGCCCAACATCGCCAAAGTCACCAGCCACCTGGGGTCAGCCCCCAACCCCCCCCCGGCCTTTGGCCCTGCCTGGCAGGCCCTGCTTGGCAGACACGCGGGCGCCATTGAAAGGTAGATCGACGCGGCAGCCTCTCGAGTCGAAGCGGCCCCGAGCACAGCTGTGATCTTCTGCGATCAAAACAAAGCCTTTGAAAGGATCTCCCTACAGTGGACGGGAAACCTCCTCCGCAAATGGAGGTTGCCCCCCTGGCTCCTGCACGCACTGAACTCACTCATCAGCGGGCGAAGAGTACAAACCTGCAAAGGACAGCACAAGGGGCCTGAGCGACGCCTCCTCCGATCCGTTGGGATGGGAGGCGCCGCCTCCCCGCTCTTGTGGTGCATGGGATACGACCCCCTTATTTCCGCCCACTCCAACATCACTGCCGACGACGACCCCGCATACGTCGATGACCTAGCAGCGTTGCTCAGCTCTACGAAGCAGACGCTGCGCGCCGCCATCGCCCTTCCCTGGGCTGCGCGCGCCGCCGGGCTCCTAGTTGAAGCGCACCGTTGTAGAGGTATCAGGGCCGCTGACTCCGATGCCTTCAGGGAAGCTTTTGAAGAGGCCCCAGTCCACTATGAGCAAGACGGGGACAGCGCCCTGATCACTGGGCTTCCAGGCGAACTGATTCTGACCCTCCTCGCGGGAGTCGTGGACCAACAGGCCATCGACTCATGCGCCCCCTTTCAGCGCCCGTGCAGTTGTACCTTCAAGACTGCCCTCGTGCCCGCAGGAAGCCATGACTGGTGGCGTAACCGCATGGAATACACCCCCTTCGGGAGCTCCTCAGTGCGGGGCCAGTTGCCGTGCCTCGGCGCCGCGGCGGTCTCTCGCGCGGCGGAAGGTGAGCAGCCCCCC